GCGATCTTCGGGTGCCGTCTTGGGCCATCTTGGGTAGTCGGAAGGCCGAAAAGTAGCAAATGCCAAGATCCATGAAAAGCTTAGGGTGACTCAATGATTTGGGCCTCTTCGGGCCCCCCTGGAGGATCTCCTGGAGGCATCTGGGGCAGTCTTGGAAGCCTCTTGGGAGCATCGTGGGCCGTCTTCGGCCGTCTTGGAGGCTTCTTGCATCTTGGACCCTCTTGGGCTGTCTTGGAAGCCATCTTGTATTCTCGTTGGCCGTCTTGGAGGCCATCTTGGACCATCTTGGGCCGTCTCCAGCATGTTTCAAACATGCTCTGGAAATCAATGATTTTGACCTCTTCGGGCCCTCCTAGAGGAGCTCCTAGAGGCATCTGGGGCAGTCTTGGAAGCCTCTTGGGAGCATCGTGGGCCGTCTTCGGCCGTCTTGGAGGCTTCTTGTATCTTGGACCCTCTTGGGCTGTCTTGGAAGCCATCTTGGATTCTCTTGGGCCGTCTTGGAGGCCATCTTGGACCATCTTGGGCAGTCTTGGGCCGTCGGAAGGCGAAAAATAAGCAAACATCCCAGAATCGTTGAAAATCGCTGGGCCATCAATGATTTTGACATCTTCGGGTCTTCCTGGAGGGCCTCTTGGAGGCCTCTTGGGCCGTGTTGGAGGCTTGTTGGGGGCCTCTTGGGGCATCTCGGGCCGTCTTGGAGGCTTCTTGGGCGGACTTGAAGGCATCTTGGACCCTCTTGGGCCGTCGTCGAGGCCATATTGGACCATCTTGGGCGAACTTACAGGCCATCTTGGACCATCTTGGCCGTCAAGAAGACCATCTTAAGGCCATCTTGAGCGAAAAAGCCGACGGGGCGGGCACCCCGGCGCGCTGGGCCGAAGGCCCAGGGGGAGTTGTTTAGGACAAGAACCGAAGCCCAAAGCTGTAGAATTCAGCACGCCAGACAACCCTGTGATAGATCAAGAGGGGACGGCGGATCGGATGGCCTTCGGCCCATCCCGCCACCGTGCCAGGGTTGTGGGTATGAAGCCTATTGGATGTTCGTTGGGATCTCGTGGGAGGGAGGCAGTTTGGAGGCCTCTTGGGGGCCGTTCGGGGGCTCTTGGGGCATCTTTTCGGCCTCTTGGGGGCCTCGTGGGTTCTCTTGGGGGCCTCTGGGGGGTCTCTTGGGGCCTCCTTGGAGCTTCTTAGCGGCGGAAGGATAGGATTTTCGCTCGTGTTCCCTCATCGGGCCCCTTTTGGGGCCGTTTGGGGGTCCTCTTGGGCCGTCTCGGGCGCCTTTTGGGCCCTCTTGTGGCACTTTCAGGCCGTCTTGGAGCCCTCTTGGAGGCCTCTTGGGCCATTTTGAAGCCATCTTGGGCGTCGTGTGCCGATCTTTGGGCGTCTTGGGGCCCTATTGGGCCGTCTTCCAGGCCGCTTGCCCTCTTGGCCCGTCTTGGGGCCTTCTTGGGCCGGAAAAATTGACGCGCCACCACTTCCCGGAGCCCAGGGGGCACGCGACAAGCCCCAGGGGGCACGCGGGAAGCCCCAGTAAATCTTAGAGCGAGGGGCCCGGGTCCTCTCAAGAATCTTCAGGAGTGAGGATTGAGGCGTAGAGGATTTGGCCCAGGACCCGCGGACACGCCCACTCTGTGCCCAGCGGCACGCTGGCGGACTTTTGATACTACGACCACTACTCAAACAACGAGTGCTAAGACTGCTGCATATACTGCTACCACAACTTCTACTTTTATTTCCCTACCTAGGCTCTGCCTAGAAGGGCTCTTACTCTCTTAGCTTAAAGGGGCCGGGCAGTGTAAATCGCCCCGGGCGGTTCCCCCAGTCCCCGCCCCGCGGTTCCCCCAGTTGCGCCCCCTGGGTTCACCCAGCTTAGCTTAGCTTCAGCTTAGCTTTAGCTTAGCTTTAGCTTAGCTTTAGCTTAGTTTTAGCTTAGCTTTAGCTTAGCTTTAGCTTAGCTTTAGCTTAGCTTCAGCTTAGCTTTAACTTAGCTTTAGCTTAGCTTCAGCTTAGCTTCAGCTTAGCTCTAGCTTAGCTCTAGCTTAGGTTCAGCTTAGCTTCATCTTAGCTTCAGCTTAGCTCTAGCTTAGCTTTAGCTTAGCTCTAGCTTAGCTTTAGCTTAGCTTAGCTTTAGCTTAGCTTTAGCTTAGCTTTAGCTTAGCTTTAGCTTTAGCTTAGCTTTAGCTTAGCTTTAGCTTAGCTTTAGCTTAGCTTTAGCTTAGCTTTAGCTTAGCTGTAGCTTAGCTTTAGCTTAGCTTTAGCTTAGCTTTAGCTTAGCTTCAGCTTAGCTTCAGCTTAGCTTTAGCTTAGCTCTAGCTTAGCGTCAGCTTAGCTCTAGCTTAGCTTTAGCTTAGCTCTAGCTTAGCTTCAGCTTAGCTCCAGCGTAGCTTCAGCTTAGCTCTAGCTTAGCGTTAGCTTAGTTTTAGCTTAGCTTTAGCTTAGCTTTGTCTGAACTTTAGCTTAGCTTTAGCTTAGCTTTAGCTTAGCTTTAGCTTAGCTGTAGCTTATCTTTAACTTAGATTTAGCTTAGCTTTAGCTTAGCTTTAGCTTAGCTTTAGCGTAGCTTTAGCTTAGCTTTATCTTAGCTTTAGCTTAGCTTTTCTCTTACTACTAATGCTGCTTTCCTAGGGGCTCCAACTCCTAGGTAGGGTCGCACTGGGATAATTTTACTTCTACTGCTACTACCACCATCATTGCTACGACTACTGCTACAGTTGTTCCCACTACTAGTTGAACTTAAACCATCACTGCTAATGCTACCACCCGGGAGCTGTATGCTTGGGGCCCTGTCGGCTTGCGAAGGGTCTTCATCGTACGCGCTTCTGAAGGAGGACCGGCGATGACGACCGACGATCTGACGACGACGACGACGACGACGACGACGACGACGACGACGACGACGACGATCGACAAAGATGACGACGACGCCATCGCCGCCGCCGCCGACCTCTGCGCCGCTGCTCAGACCACCGAAGGACGCCGAATACCGTTGAGATCACCGACGAACGCAGCAGGCCGCAGAAGGCCGCCGACGGCCGCAGAAAGTCGTCGAGGGCGGCCGGGGAGGGGCCGCGCAGAGCTCCCAGCCGAGCCCTCGGGCGGATCCTGGCACCGCCCCCCCCCCCTGGCCAGGCCACCTCGCGGCCGTTCTCGCGCACGGGCGTCGAGTTCCGGACGCGTCGCGCGGTGCTGCGCGCAGTGGCTGCCGAATTTCTCGTCGTCGTCGACGATCTTGAAGGAGGAGCGGGATGCTGACGAGCGTTCCAGAGCTGCTTTTCTTTCAAACGGTGCTCCTCTTGACCTCCTGACGAGCGGCCCAGATTTTCGAACGCTCGAGCACCCAGAAGAAAAGCAGCTGATCGCCGCATCTAGTTGATTGGCTCGTCTCACAATCTATTGTTCTTGTCACTCTTTCGGGGCCTCTGGATGCTTCCCAGGACCTCGGGGACCTCCAGAGACAAGCTTCTGGGGTCCTCTGGGGACAAGTTCGGGGACCTCTTGAGATCATTCTCGACACCTCGAAGATCGTGGATCGAGGGGGTGATCGAGGATGGAGGCCATCGGAGCGTTTTGCAGCCTTGTTTGGCCTCGGGGGCGCTCTCGTCACCATACCCAGACTCGCCGCAGAGCGGGAGTCACGGCGGGCCCCCAGGGGGAAACGAGCACGCAAATCTCGTAGGCAGTGAGGGCGCAAAGGTATGGAGTGAGGAGGAGGAGGAGGAGGAGGATGAGAAGGAGGAGGAGGAGAGTGATCGAATCTTGCTGGCCGAGTGGCTCTGCTGCCTGAAAAGAGGATCAGGAGACAGACGGACGATCAGGAGGAGGAGGAGGAGGAGGAGGAGGAGGAGGAGGAGGAGGAGGAGGAGGAGGAGGAGGAGAGGAGGAGGAGGAGGAGGCAGGAGGAGCAGGAGGAGCAGGAGGGGGACTCTGATAATCCGAGCGCGCCCCCCAATGCGTCGGTGTCTCAGGGCTGTTCTGAGGCTTCGTTGGGGCCGCTTGGGGGCCTTTTTGGAGCTCTCTTGGGCTCGCTAGGGCCTCTCTGGCGGCTCCGTTGGGCCATCTTGGCGTCTCTTGGGGTGTGTGGGATCCGTTTGGGCGTGTCTTGCGGCTGTCTGGGGGCGTCTTGGGGACCTCTTGTCTTGGGGTCTTTTTGGGACTGTCTTGGAGTGTCTGGGCTGTCCTGGAGTTCGGCTTCCTCTTCGGCGCCTCTTGGGCTATCTTGTGGCGCTCTTGAGGGTGAAGACACATGCCGTTGGGGCCGTCAGGTTCCTTGATGAGCCATTTTGTGAAATTTTCAGCAGGCGGCTTGGCGTGCCATCTAGGAAGGTTCGGTGAATCACTGTAGCCACCCGTGGCCACCCGTTTTCGGGTCGTTGGGCGTCCAGGGGCTAGTTGGTAGCAGTGCTCGTGCCCCCCCCTCCGCTTCTCACCCGTCCTCATCAGTTATTTCAAGTATTTCTTTTTTTCTCTCTGCAACATGGCCAGCGCCGCCCTTGCTTCGCTGGTCCGCCGGGGACCTGAGGGTGAAAGGAGGAAAGGCGAATAATGAGGAGGAGGAGGAGGAGGAGGAGGAGGAGGAGGAGGAGGAGGAGGAGGAGAAGGAACACCACAGGCAGGGGAGGGACCTCCCCCTCAACCTCCGTCCTTCTCCCTCCCTCCCTCCCTACCTACCTCTTCCTGATCTACTCTGAGAGATCACCTCGGAAATTTGAGTGAACCTTGTAAGTTTCCGCGATCGCGACAACGGCCATGCACACCCGCACATACGTGCAACGTCTGGCGCAGCCTCCCTCCCTGCCTCCCCTGGAGGCCCCCCAGTAGTCTCCTGATGCCCCTGAGGCCCTTGCAGGCTTCCAGAGGCCCATGCAGGCCCAAAGACGCCCGACCCCCTCGATCCCCGCGTCGAATGGGCGAGGCCCCGCCCCTCCTTGCGGGGGGGGGGCCGGCGGTCGCCCAAGTGCTCTACTGCAACGGGAAGAGCGCCGCCAACCTGACGGCGCCAGGCCGTCGGCTGTCTTAGGGTCGGGGGGGCGGAGGGCGTGCCTCCTCGAGCTTCCCCCCCTCCTTCCCGCACCCTGGTCCCCCCTCCCGTTCCTCATCCCCCGTCATGCTCGCGGCGCACACAGCAGCAGTATGAATCGGACATGGAAGTTGCATGGTGGATTTTGTTGGACAACTGACTGCCCACGGGCACTCCGCACTTTCTGCACTGTTCTACATGTCAGGGTGGTTTGACGTGACTGGATCCGCTATCGTTTCCTCTGTGGGCTTCAAAGCATGTTGGGCGCGTTGTTCCTGTTGGAGTTGGGCGTTTGCGCTCTCTTTGCCGCGGCGCGCGATCCGTCCTCCTCTCGCTTCTTTCCACGCCGCTTCACTGTTCATTCCTCCCCCGTTGGCCCAGCTCGCCCGCCGACCACACAGTTCGCGCCCGAAAATCGGGGCCCAGCTTGGACTTCTAGCCTTGGTAGGCAGATGCGCATGCGATCCGCCTGTCGCGCGTTCCGCATTGCAGATCGAGGTTCGTCTATAACTCCATATTGATGGGGCGGCCGTACGCGCCCGTCGTTGCACACTCCCTTTCTCATGATAGATTTCGTGACCCTGTAGCGAAATGGGCTGCTGCTTTTGCGGGGGCCAACGCGGTTGCCCTGTGCATTGGAAAAGGCGCGCCCCAATCGCGTTTGCTTTCCAAGCTGGGCCCCCACCGCGGCCGCAGTGGGGGCAGTTACGCGCATGTTGTTCTTCCATTTCGAATCCGTCACTGAAGGCATCCGCGCCCAATAGGCCCGCTGTGCGGCTCCGTAGGAGGCGTTCGCAGGCGGCCGCCCTCGCTGCCCTGGCGCACCCGGCAAGTTTCGCACTTCGCCAGCTTTCCCTCAGTGCGCGGGTTTGCCCGCGGCTTACGGATCTGCTTCGCGTGCGTGGGCCTTTCCTAGGGTTCACTTGGACCATCTTGGAGTCATTTTGAGGCTTCATGAGAAAAATGGAAGCAAAAGAGCCAGAAGGCTAACAACATTGAAAACGACACGTGCGTGAAGGATTTTGGCCCCCCGGAAATGCAGGCAACGTGAGTCCGAGGCGGTAAATCAAACGTTTTCTGCGTACGGCCGTCGCGCGCGCAGCAGCATTGCGTGGGGCCAGCAGCCAGAAATTAGACCGTGGGAAACTCGAACTGTTGCAGGTTGCGGGGAAGCCTCGGTTTTTAGCCTGTTGGCCCCCTGAGGGGCCAGCGGATTTTGAGTCCTCGGTTTGTGGGGGGGGTCGCGCTGAGGGAGAGCCCCACCTGCTGATGCAAGGGGCCAGGGCGCCGCCCGCGCCCCGGCGGCATAAGGCGGACCCGCGGCGTTGGCAAAGATGCCGCGGGCCTTCCTCCCAAGGCACTTGCAGGCAGCTGTCCTCGCACCCGCATCACCGACCTCGCACCCCCAGGGGCGCGAAGATAATCGCGCATCGCGTGTCGCGGTCTGCGCCAGGGGGCTGCCTCTTTCCAAGTGGGCGGCGCGAGGGCGTGAATAACTCGAGGCGGCATGGACAGTCGCGGAATGGCATGAAAAAGTGCGCGGCTCACGTTCCAGGTGGCGTGCGGCGGCGATTTTGTCATGCACCTTCAAAGATTGGTTTTGACCATGCAAATATATCATACCACTTTCATACCGATATCATACCGAGTTCATTCGGGTATTGATGCCATCATCCATGCCGCACGTCGCGCCGGCTCGATGTCCGGGGTGGACGCAGGGGGGACCTGCCCCTCAGTCCGATGGATCTCATCGCCTGGGGTTGACAGAGCGGCTTTTCTAATAACACAGTGATAAGTCGGTTCCCACAGCATGCGTCGGTTACCTTCTGGGGCCCCCAAACGGCCTCCTGAAGTAAGCAGCTGGAGGTTCCCACAGCTTAAACGGTGATCTTCTGGGGCCCCCAAGCGGCCTCCTGAGGTCACCAGCTGGAGGTGCCCACTGCTCGCGTCGGTGCCCGTCTGGGCCTCCCTTAGCAGCCTCGTGGGGTCACCGGTCGGAGGCCCCACGACTTCCGTCGGTGACCTTTTGGGGCTCCCGAGCGGCCTACTGAGGTCACTGGCCGGAGGTTCCTGCAGCTTGCGTCGGTGATCTTCTCGGGCCCCCAAGCAGTTTCCTGAGGTCGCCAGCTGGCGTATCCCACTGCTTGCGTCGGTGACCTTTTGGGCCCCCTCGAGCGACCTCCTGAGATCATCGGATGAGGTTTCCACAGCTTTCGTCGGTGACCGTCTGGAGCCCCGAAGCGGCCTCATGAGGTCACTGGCCACAAGTTCCCACAGCTTCCGTCGGTGACTTCCTGGGGCCCCCAAGCGGCATCCCGAGATCACCTGCTGGCGGCTCCCACAGCTTGTGTCGGTGACCAGGTGGACCCCCCAAGCGGCGACCTCAGGACAGCAGCTGGAGGTTCTCACAGCTTTCGTTGGTGACCACCTGGGAGCCCCGAGCGGCGTCCTGCTGGATGTCCCCACAGCTTCCGTCGGTGACCTTCTGAGCCCCCCCAGCAGCCTCCTGAGGTCACTGGCCAGAGGCTCCCACACCTTGTGTCAGCGACTTTCTTGGGGCCCCAAGCGGCCTCCTCAGGTCACTGGCTGGAGGTTCCCACAGCTTGCGCCAGTGACTTTCTGGGGCCCCCACGCGGCCTCGTCAGGTCACCGACTGGAGGTCCCCACAATGTGCGTCGGTGACATGCTGTGGCCCCGCAGCGGCGTCCTGGGGTCACTGGCCGGAGGCTCGGGCAGCTTGAGTCAGTGACTGCGACCTCCTAAGGTCACCGGCCAGAAGTTCCGTCGGTGACGTCCTGGGGCCCACAAGCGGCCTCTTCGGGTCACCGGCCCGAGGTTCCCGCAGCTTGCGTCGTCATCCTTTTGGGCCCCCCCGAGCGGCCTCCTCAGGTACCCAGCTGGAGGTTCCCACAGCTTGCGTCGGTGACCTTCTGGGCCCCCGCCCTCGGCCTCGTGGGGTCATCGGCTGTAGGCTCCCACAGCTTGCATCGGTGACATTCTGGGGGCCCCATGCGGCCTCCTGAGGTTACAGGCTGGAGGTTACAGCTTGCGTCGGTGACCTCCTTGGGCTCTAAGCGGCGAAGCGCACGGTTCTTCATTCAGACTTGCACGTGGGAGATCGGTGGCGCTCTTCAAAAGTATGGGCGGGCCGACATGTTCATCCTCGGCCCTCCGTCCCTCCCTCCCTTCAGCGATGCCGCTACCCCAGATCTGGTCATGGCGGTCTGGAGTGGGCCTGCGGCTGGCGGAAGGTTGAGCCAGGAAATCCACTCGGGGACCAGGGGAACCGAAAAGGGCGAATACGAAACCCATAATTTCGAATCGAAGCTTGGTCGCCGAGCGAAGGAATGCTTGTGGCCGCGGCCAAATTGGTACGGTACGGTACGGGCCGGTACCCGTTGGCCCGCATCCGGTACAGTAGTGGCCATCACGGAAAGGTTTTTTCCCAACCATTTTGTGGTGTTGGGTCCTCGTTTTGAAGAGGCATCGCCCCGCGTCTCCTTCCTCCCTCCTCCCTCCTCCCTCCTCCCTGCGTTGCACCGACCCAGTACAGCTCTTCGTGGCCTCATAGGGAGCTCCACCGAAGGCCCCAGTGGGGGTGGCCACATGCGTCCGCCACACCCAGTACAGCGTTTCGTCGCCTTCTAGGGAGCTCCACCCAAGGCCCCAGTGGGGGTGGCCACATGCGTCCGCCACACCCAGTACAGCGTTCCGTGGCCTCATAGGGAGCTCCAGCGAAGGTCCCAGTGGAACCGCCTGTATGCGCCCCCCCCACCCAGAACAGCGTTTCGTGGCCCCATGGGGAGCTCCACCCAAGGCCCCAGTGGGGGTGGCCACATGCGTCCGCCACACTCCGTACAGCGCTTCGTGGCCCCAAAGGGAGTTCCACATGCGGCCCCAGTGGGGGTGCCCGCATGTGTCCGCCACACCCAGTGCGCCCCTCACACGCTTCGTGGCTCGTGAGGCCCCCGCCACGCCCAGTGTTCACAGTCATCTACATTCACACTAGGCGTATCCATGCTCGCAGCCATGCACATAGACTTACTCGCACGCAGACTCAATCACAATCAGACGCGCTCGCGCTCAGTCTCACCAGCGCTCAGTCCCCGTGCTCAGGCCTATCGTTTCCGTTCGTGTTTTGTACCCCTTCACACATGTCGGCACACCCCGCGCACGGTTCGTGGCCCCATACGGATCGCCACCGAAGAAGAGATTCACAATTGCGGTACTCAGATTTGCATATGGTTGGGTCTTTCGCTAGGATAATTGTTTGGGGAAGTGCGGCAATTCTGGGTCTTCCGGCGTACCTCGGGGAATCGCAGGACGGGGCAATTTGCTTATAGGGCGGCCAAGGCAGACGGCACAAGATGGACGTGGACTGCACGACGAGCCCCGCATGTACCAAATTTTCCTGGCGAAGGGCCCAACCATATGTAGTTGTGAGTAACGCGTTTGGGTGCCGCTTCTGGTGGGCCACGCAACGCGTGATGGGGCGTGCCGTAATGGGTGGGGGGGACGCATGCGGGCACCCCCATTGGGGCTTACGGTGAAGCTCCCTATCGGGCCACGACGCGCTGTAGTGGGTTGTGGAAGCGCATGCGGGCGGTGCCACTGGGGCCTTCGGTGGAGCTCACATATGGGGCCACGAAACGCTGTATTGGGTGGGGGGGACGCATACAGGCGGGTCCACTGGGACCTTCGCTGGAGCTCCCTATGGAGCTACGAAGCACTGTACCGGGTGTGGCGGACGCATGCGGGCGGTCCACCTGGGGCTTTCGGTGGAGCTCCCTATGGGGCCACGAATCGCTTTATTGGTTGTGGCGGGCGCATGCGGGCGGTCCCGCTGGGACCTTCGGTGGAGCTCCCTATAGGGCCACGAAGCGCTGTACTGGGTGTGGCGGACGCATGCGGGCACCCCCACTGGGGCCTTCGGTGGAGCTCCCTATGGAGCCACGAAGCGCTTTGCTGGGCGTTGCGAACGCA